TAGCTCTCTGCACGCACTGCAGGCCTATGATGAGGGAGCATCATAGGCCTGCAGTGCATGCAGAGAGCTAGATAATAAAGCTCTGAGGAGATAATATTAACACTACTCAACTTGATATCTGGAAATTCTTTTAAATTGCACTCACCTGGAGGCTCATACAATTTTGAGAGAATTTTGAAATATCACTTGTGCCAACGTGAACATATCACTTTTATTACTGTGTATCTACATAATTTCTGTTCAACAACAACAAGTTTAAAACAATGCCAGATAGCAGGTGTGCTCACCATATCTATGACCCCATAATTCTTGCATCTCTTTAAATAGTCTATAAAATAAACCTAGTGCATGAAAAAACACAATTGTTAGTATGGCAAAAGTAGGATACTCATGTACATGTAAAGCCTGACAGACTCAGCCTGCTAAGTCCTGGTGCTGGGATAAAACTCATGTGACAAAAGAGGGATATTATTAAAGTGCAGTCATTCTTGCTGTCTGCTGTTACCTGCTCTCCCTACACACCACCACTCACTAACCCTAAGAACTACTGGTTCAGTTTTTTGTTTTGATCACCTACAGACACATCATTTAAGTTTTAGTAATAAGTATGTTCTGAGCAGTTATCAAAATGTCAGTGAGGGTCAGACTATGTATAGCACATGATTACAAAAATGATGCAGGATATCACCCTTTATAAAACAACTGAGATACTACGTGAGCTCTGATTGGTCAAAAACCTATCATTTATTGTTCAGGTAAACACATGGATGCAGCACCACACGAACTCATGACACTGGTGAGAACAAAATAAACAGTTTCAGATTTCACCTGCCAAGGTATCAGTAACACAAATATCTTTTCATTCAACATATACATAGAAATTTGTAAGGAAAAACAGGACCAGAATTTGGTCACACTATAATGTTTGATCTTGTTTTCCATGGCAAAAATTTTTTACGCTGTTTCCTTTTACTCTTGAGTTTAGAAGAAAGTTTCAAGTGCTTTAAGTGCTTTCCATGGTCTGTTGAGGACACAGTTCTGACTGCAGCCCAGCTGGACAGATCAATTTGGGTTGTTCAAAAGGCATGGAAAAGATTCCTTTGAGTTGACTTAAGTTTATCCGGCAGTAGTTTTAAGTTTGAACTCAAGCATGCATGAATAAAACAAAAAGCTTAAGCTAAAATGAATTTGGGTTCAATTAACTTTCAAGCAACAGTTTCCACTTAACAAACTACATATAGAGAAACATAGGCTTCAGAGCCTTGAAATAAAGAGTGATAAATTCCGAATAAATTTCAGATGCAGCATTTCTGGAACCAACCTTTATTCCATTTGCAAAAGATTGGAAAGTCATCACTGAATCACTTCCCTAAGTGTAAGAAGTTTTCACTACTTGCAAACTTTTTTCCTTTCATGTGACTGATTCTGGCCACAAATCCCCGCATTTCTCCATCAAAGTACTTTTGAATTAATTAATACACTTTCTGCCTTTCACTGATCGATAACCTTTTCCTCTCCTTTCTTAAAACTTTAACAGCCCTTAATGTTCTTGTTGCTTTGCCCCGCAGATTTTGTGTGCAGTGTTGACTCTGTGCTTTCATTCTTTCAGTCACTGTGATTGGTTTGCCATGTCACCTCATGAAGTTTTTGAGAACAAGCAAAATAAATTTTCCTCTCTTTGACAAACATTTTCCATACTTATTTCATAAAAGCACTAGACCACTCTTTCTCTGGTTTTATTGGTGCATTAAACCCACTTGGGATATTAGGTGAACACTCAAAAAGATTGTAAATCACTCGCATAATGGGTTGTGATTTGCAAGCTCTTCTTGTGTTTTCCAAGCATCACACATGGCTTTATTGTGCCTGTAAACTCATAGAAAGAGTGTTTAATTGCTCAACTTTTTTATTAATCAATGACCCATTCAAGATATGAAATGTTCTGGTGAAAACACACCTTTGTAATGTTAAGAGTAGTCATTCTATCAGAAGCCGTTTGTTTAAGAAAGAGGTCTCCAAGAAATGCAGGTAGCAAAAGGAATCTGAGAACAAAGAAAAACATTCAAGTTTAAATTTCATAAGCCACAAGTGGGAAGCTACCTGAGTCATAAAATATTTTTAGATGTACTGTTATTAAACAGTAGGACTGAGCTGCACATGAGAAAGTTATAATCAGCAGAATATTTCGTAAAGGACACTACTGGTAGAAATTCTACACAGAGTCATTTAGGATTTTGACAGGATCCTAAGTATAAGACCCTACAAGATTCTGCCTAAGATAAGTGAAAGTTTGATTTACAAAATTGAGTGGTGTCATAGATTTGTTGTACTTTTCAGGTATGTAACAAAGGATTAATGCTTACATTTTTCCTAACAAATCATCCCAGTCAAAGATTTTGATAGCCAAAGTGCTTGAGGCAGGAAAACTTATCACCCATTGTAACATTAGCTGAATAGAGCTTTACATCAGACTCACCTTAACTCAGAAGTAGGAACTTCAGATAATTCTTCATTTCTACTAAATAGAGCCAAACTATTGACCATTTCTGTTGCTTGGACAAAATGATTCACAGCTGTGGTGACCTTGTTCTACAAAACCAAAATAGAAAGAAAGGAATATTGTGCAGGCTCTCTGACTTCAATTAACTCGAGAAGTCATGGAAAGCAAACTTAGGGTCAGAGGTCAAACACAGTTTTTGATATCTGTGTTATATTTGTCATTTTTTTAAAACTCTTGATCCTTTGGCCTCCAAATATGGTAAGATGCAAGTAAGAGCATAGACTTCAGCATTTTGATAGTTTAGGAAGAGTTGTAAGGGGGAAGGGGGGTCTGGCACAGTTCATGAATGGGAAAAATACCGAATCATGGATCACTGATATGAAAATCCCTTTTTCCCGAAATCACAAAAGTAAGCGAGTAACATACTCTTTTCAACAACCTGCTGTTATGCTAGAAAGAGCATTTGAAGAAAGCAAAATCGTGAAAGGCTAACTAAAGGCTCAATATTGCAACTCGCATAGCTAAATCACTCTTGATAGGTAGTTGATAGTTGCTGATGCCTTACAAGGCATTAGGATAATTAAACAGAGGTCACATTTGAATGTTTTCAGCCTTCATAAATCTTCCGGAGGACTTGCGTCTTAAAATCACGTAGAACAGAGTGGTGAAATCACAAATATCGGTAAACAATTAAAGTTCTTCATGGGTTACACAAAACCTTCAAGTCACGAAGAATAATTTCCTAAATTCACATTTCACAGATCACAGATCACAGATCACGAGAGTACCCCTGTACTACCCTCTTTAGCTGATGTTTAACTGTTGCTTTGGTACCATGAATGGCTGTAAACAGGCCTTTAATATCAGGTTTCATTCATTTTCAGAAAATGTAGTAGTTACATTCATCATTTGCATGCAATAACCTTGTTATAACACATTCAACTGAACAAATTCTTGGCCTGGGAGATGGGAATTTGACCAACTGAAAGATTGAAATGCCTAATGCCCAGGGATTGTACAGGGAAGGATGTTGAAGTGTCAAACTGACTGATACGTTAGTACTTTACACATTTGCGCAGTAAAGTTTATGTAGAACTTGGGGTGATCTCCTCTGAAAAGCTTTAACGAGCTTGCTGAGATCATCCTGCTACTAAATAAGCTAATGTAAAGTCAAGCAATTCACTTTGTCAGGAAAAATATCAGTGGCTGGCAAATAAAGTCCATTGATTGATACCTAGCTAAAGGTACAAGTGAGTACATGAAATATCATATATTTCAACCTTGGAGAAAAATATGAAGACATGATTGATCATCTCAGTTCTATACACAACTTAAGGTTACTTCAAACCTTTGCGGGTGTCCTCCAGAAAAAAATTCGTACGCGTGCTGTTTTGAAGGAAACCCCCACAAACTATATATCAATGCAAAGGTTATAAAATGTAGAATGAGATAGAATTACCTATATTCTTTTTTGCTGACTACTTTCCTAAGGCGGCAGAAGCTGTTAATGCCAAAACAACCGACTGAAATTCTGGTAAATTAATCAGGTATCAAATGCGATCATTGATACAAAATAACGGTGCAGTGTTAATCACAAAGCATCAATCTCTCAAAGCGTGTCAGCATTTTCTTTCATTTCTATTGGTTATCTTCTTAGAGATCTGTCAAGTTCCACTATCGAAAAAATTCACGTAACGTGTTGGGTTAGAGACCACCACGAAAAAAGTATTTGAAATAAAAGAATTCGCCGGCATATTTTTGTTGCATATCTATCAGTGAATGTTCTGGCCAAATTTCAAGGAAAACCGTCGATTCTACATACCCTTTTTAATTCATTTAAAAAGGAGTGATTCTCTTGAAAAACAAGTGCAAGTTTTCACCTTCTAAAGATTTATAAACATGTCACGCCTTCTCAGAGGGATGTCAACTCAAAATGTCACCAGCCAATGAAATAACAGAAGCCCTAGCGTTCTCAGTGAGGAAAGTTGAGCTTCACGGTAAAGCGATAGTGTTACAGTCACGTTTTAGGTGCATACGTTTAAGGTCGGTGGTCAACAATAAAGGGCAAAATGGAGAAAAGCGATGTGTAACAAAACAAAAAGAAACTGAGGAGCAATTGCTGAAGCGTGATTACAAAAAGGCACTCTTGATGGACATGAAATCTCAAATTGAAGGTATTTGATATAGGATCTCTGGATTAAGCCGTTTGCCGCGAAAAGGTCGCCAAGGAGTCTAAGCCTTATGGGGATTATGACGCCTTAATGGTTTATAAACTTTTATTAAAAAAACCTCTTTTTCCCAATAACTCACGTGCATTTTAATATTTTATTTTCATTTTTTGGAAAATGTTACCTTGAATAATGAACTTTAATTTGGTTGGAAAAAAGAAAATTTGGAAAAAGTAGCCCCGTAAAGGTTTGGAGTAACCTTAAGCAGTTGTGAAATTCAAGCCTGAAAAAAATTCAGGCTTGAACGGGATTTGAACCCATGACCATGTATATAACTGCGATGATCAATCATGTCTTCATATCTTTCTCCCAGGCTTAAATATATGATATTTCACATCATAGTATGTTCATCTAAAATGCATCAAATATTTTTGCTCGTGTGTGATTGGTCTAAACAAGTCACATGACTGAATATTCCCCAGCTAAAACTGGGGAATATCTGAGAATATTCCCCAATTTTCAAGACTGCACATGTTGTGAAAAAGATTTGAAGGTAATAAACACAATAGCCTCCATTAGGCATGAAAATATGCTCGGATATTTGTCCTTAGACATTATCTGTTCCTCAAAGCTCACAGTTACGCTCTTGGAAAACTGTTCGCTTCTTGGAACAGCTGCGGACAAATATTTTTCGCACCAAATGAAGGCTATTGCTTATATATTCACTTGTATCTTCACCATCTCTGGATATATAACGAACTGACAACGTGACCAGCTCCCAGTTGGCTTGATAGCTCAGTTGGTAGAGCACTGCACCTGTATCGAAGAAGTCATGGGTTCGAATCTCGTTCAAGCCTGAATTTTTTCCGGGCTTTAATTTCACACCTGCTTAAGTTGTGTATAGAACTGCGATGATCAATCATGTCTTCATACCTAGCTAAAGGCTTAAACAAGTTCTCGCCATTTGAAGTAATCTGAGCTTATGCGCATTAATCAAGGCACAATTTATGATACAGAGGCACTCTTAGAACTACTCATATGGATAAAAATACATTGTAATCCTGAGCTTACATTTGGGAGAAATTTGAAAGCTTACACGTACATTAAGAAATTCAAAATAAATCAAATACAATTTAAACACCCCTTAAATTAACTAAACATTACCTGAAATATCTCCGATGAGCTTGGCTCATCATAATCTTCTAACTGACTGTGTAAAATGAATCCTTTTTGAAAGATATCTCTCAGAGAAGTTCCTTCCTCAACATTCTTGGCCGCCATATTAGACTCGTGTTGACAGAGACAATGTGACGTTACATGAAGGATAATCTAACACTAAAAGGTAGCCGCTGATTAAAGATTTGGTCCCAGTCATTCAAATATGGTATCTCCGGTGGTATCTCCTCCTTTACAAGTTCTTCGAAGAATTTTTAAAGAGTTGAAAGTTCTATCACGATTTAAGGTAAAGGCTGGGCTAAACTCCAGAATACCCGGCCACTTATTAGCATCTCATTGAATAAGAATAGCAACTATTGTTATATACCTCGTTCTTCAAAGCCCTCCGACACGGGTAAATAAAGTGGCCGGGTATTCTGAAGTTCTAAACGCATATTGGAGAGTTGGTCAGCGATCGAATTCGCGCTCCCTCCTTTGGAATACCGTAACAGTCTTTCATTTTCTGTCTGAAGCTCTCAACAAGGTGATCTATAAAATTATTAAGGTTAACAGCTCGGTTAACAGATTGAAATGATCAATAGACTCGGAGAGAAAGTCAAGGCCGATGATTACTAGTCCCCAGTCTCTTTGCAAGCATTGTTTCTACTGGGAGGAGTGAAGGTAATCTACGATACTCCGTAGAGGACCTAGAGAGTATAGAGAACGATAAATTTGCAATAAATCCCACAGGTATTTTTAAGATAAAGTGGTTCTTATAAATTCTGATAAAATAGCCTTTTTCATAATTTACTTTTCTAAATATATAGTCTAAAAATATAAAAAATAAATATAAAAATATAATCCACCATGTATGTGAGGCAATTTCAAGCAAATTTTAAAATGATAAGAGATGCTTTAACTCAAGAACAATGGCCAGTTGCCTCTGTGAGAAAAACCTGCAGGCAGTAGTTGTATTCATCATCTCAGACTCAATATTTTTATGTCTCCTTTCCCAGATGCAATTAAATACAACTTAATGAAAAAACTATAGTCAATTATTTGGTCAACAGCCGAGCTTTGTTTGCAAAGAGCGCCCNAGATAAAGTGGTTCTTATAAATTCTGATAAAATAGCCTTTTTCATAATTTACTTTTCTAAATATATAGTCTAAAAATATAAAAAATAAATATAAAAATATAATCCACCATGTATGTGAGGCAATTTCAAGCAAATTTTAAAATGATAAGAGATGCTTTAACTCAAGAACAATGGCCAGTTGCCTCTGTGAGAAAAACCTGCAGGCAGTAGTTGTATTCATCATCTCAGACTCAATATTTGTTTTGATGAATACAACTGCCATGATTCCCTGCAGGTGCATCTCATGGAGGGAATAGGCCATTACTGTAATTACTAGGGTTTTTATAATCATAAACCATTTGCATGCTTCCACTTTTGTAATGTTTTTTTTTTTGAAAATATCCATACCCNCCCCCCCCCCCCATGTTATGTTTATTGGGTTTAATGCCTCCAAATCACCTCCTGAAATTCCAGTTTAGCTTCATACTTTCCTTTAACAATTTTGACCATTGAGATCTTTCACCCCTTTGGAATTTTTGATAACCTTCCATGGGTTGAGTAAGGATATTTTCTGGAAGTACACAGTGGGGATTTCTTATTAGAGTAGGGGCACTCATAAAAACAGCTAACACTCAAAGGGGCTTACTTATTAGAACACCTGAGCTCTCATTAGGAGGTGAAAAAATCAAATCATTACAGTAATCTAATTGGTTCTTAAGAGTGATCAACCTGATTATCACTGTTACAAAAACAGTTGCCAAGAAAAATACAGAATCAGATTCAACTTAATTTAGGGTTAACATAATTTCTGAAATTATTACTCAATTTACAAAATTACATAATAATTATTATTATTAATATATATTATTATTATTATGATTATAATTATTATGATTGTGGGTGATGAGAAATTAGAAAATTAGAAATTAGAAAACACAGGCAATAAAAATTCTACTGTTCTACTTGTTACTGAGATATACATGTATATTTTCATTTATTTTCCTCAGGAACCAATCACTTCCAGTTTAGAAGGTCAGTATCTTATATCAGAATATCGTCACTTTTCTCAGGCTGGAGAAACATTAGCACACAAGCTTTACTGTGACTGTCTGTTCTATCTCTGCCTGCTTCAAAGTCAGCGAATGGCACAGGTACAAACTAATTTTATCATTGACTCTGCCAACTCTGTTAAACAGTTGAATCAATGCTGTTTGGTTCTTGTTTTACCAGTAAGAGAAATTTTGGCTAGCTAGCTTGAGCCAAAAACTATTTTGATTATTTATTTTGCACACAAGGAAGTTCCAGTTTAAGACACTGAAGTCAACCAACCAATCACCACACACCCTTGTTTTCTTGAAAGATGACACTGTTGAATTGCACTGTTCCAAAAAATATCCATAACAACAACAACAACAACTTTTATTATTACTATGACTCACATATTTACAATTTTTACAGAAATAGATATACAGATTAAGTTAAAAATGCTTGATAATAGCAACACCACGAACCCGCAGGTAGCCTGGGCTAATCTAGGTGGGCCACATCTATATTTATATTAAAAAAATAAGTAAATAAATAAATAAATAAATAAATAAATAAATAAAAAATAAGATTGTCATGCAACTACTTATAGAAGGATTTACAAAACCATTTAATACAAGTACATTTACATATTTTGATTGACACTAGGAGCTGTGATTTACTAGTGATAAACTAAACTATGGTTAAAATTAATCAGGAACTAAATTCAACAACTTGAGTCAGGGTGTCAACTTCAACATAGTCATCCCTATCTGAAAGTGTCTCAAATAAAAATCTACGAATTGTTTTCTTAAAGATTGGTTTAGATAAATCTCTCCAGTCTGGAGAAATTTGATTCCATAATATCGCTCCAGTTCTC